TTGGCAATTGACAATGTTCAAGTTATCATCATAAGACGGTTATAAAAAATAAATAGTCAAAGTGAGAACAAAGAAAAATTAGACGAAAAGGCGATGAAAGTGACAAAACGGAAACCATTTCAGGTTTTAAAACCGCTGTTTCAATTAGCAGTTTTTGTACCCCGTTTCGTTTTACATCTATTTAAAACCGGAAACGCGTTCGCTTTTTTCTTCTTCGTCTTTTTCTTCATATTATTTATATATTTTTATCAATATTACTCTTTTAATAATTATTTATAACATTTATCCAATTGTTAAATAATACAATATTAATATATTAATCATAAACAATAATTTTTTTTTGTAAATTAGACAATTGTAAACATATAATTTTATAATTTATATTTATTTACACTTTTTTAGTAACTTGTGAAATGTATATATATTTTATTTTAGAATAAATATATATAATTTAATAATTAAAAATTCTTATTTTTATAAATAATTATCTATATGATATTAAATTATTTTAAATAATAATTTAAAAAATAATTTGACTTAACTCTATAACTACAAATAATATATATTAAAATTATAAAAATTTAATAAAACTAAATAATCTCAAAATGTTATTTATTTCAAAATAATAATTTTATCATATAATAAAAAGTTAATTAAATATTAATAATATATATATATTAATAACAATAAATTTAAGATGAAAGACTTTTAAAAATAAATTTAAAATTAAAAGATAAAAAACTTAAGATAATTTTTATAAATATAAAATAGTATTCATGAAAAATATAAAAATTTATATAGAATAACAAGGAAAAGTTAAATAACAATTTTAACTTTTAAAGTTTAAAATATAATTAATAAATGTGTGGATAAAAAAATATTGAAATCATTGCAAAGTGAAATTGCATATCATAATTAACTCTATTAATTGTTTTACTTCCTAAATAGTAGAGTGAAATAATACAATGGTTGATTTTAAAAAATATAATACACGTTAAAATAAATTGTTTGATGAAGTGTTACTTTTTTTATTTACATGAATTTTTATAGACTTAATGTAGATCTATTAAATATGAATTTTTAATTAAATATTTAGTTTGATAAAATTAATATTTATAAAAATTATTAAGTAAATTAAATTTTTTTTAAAAATTATTTTTAAGAATAATTTCATCCTTATCTATTTAATAAAACTTATTAAATATTCTAGAGATAGTATATTTTTTAAAAAAAAGTAAAAATAAGTGAAGTTGGTGTCTAAGTTTATGATCTAATCCACATGAGATGTAGATTAAAGGCTTATTTTTTAATATTGAAAAATTAATGTTTGAAATTTTTTAACAAAAAAAAACATGCATTTCAATAAAAATATATTATTTTAATTAATTTATTTTCACATCTGAATCATATTTAATAACCTAAAATTATTTTCGTTAAAAGCAATTCTGTTTATCTTTAAATCTAACAGGCACTAAGCTACGTTTCAAAGTACGAAAGTTTCCAAATTCTATTTAATGAAAATATTTAATTTTAAGTAATTCAAAAAAATATTTAAATTTGACAACCCATTTAAGTTAATAATAATACAAATAGTGTATCAAAATTTAACTATAATATTGTAAGATTATTTTAATTGGTCTATTTAATATTTTTATACATTTAATTTTCTTTTTTACATGTTTAAAGATTTTATTATAAACAAAATCTTAAATAGACTTTTAAGTTTTTTATTTGTCTAAGAGGTTAAACTTGTAACAAGTTAAGATCACTCACTCAGACCTTTTAAAACTAGCCAATTCAGTCCATTTTTGTCCTAGGATCGATAGCCATTAACAATCTTAAAAAGAAATAAAATAAAATCAAGAAAGAGGCTATCTAACTAATAGCCTTGTCCCTCCTTTTCTGTCCCGAAGATTACAACCTTTTCAAAACCAATTATATATACTAATAAATATAAACCCTCTAAGGTCATCGAAGATCCTTTCCAATTTTTAATGACCTCACCTGATCCTATGTTAGGTATAAAATCATATTATAATTTGATTTAGGATACACGAAAACGACAAATCTTTGTGCCCTTTTGTTTCTTTCCTCGTTTTAACTTAAATACCCACCCAAGAATTGCATTTTTCACCCATAACTAAATCAGCATTGTACAGCGTGCATTTGTCACTATAGTCTTCAATAGAATTAAGTACTAGTGGATAAGATTAGGTTCGTAGACGAAAAGTAGCATTTTCGTTCATGGGATCACTGGAATCTCTTTCTTTCACAATCATATCATTAGATAAGTTCTTTGTTCTGAACTTGTAGAGGTTGCATGCGAGAATATGCTTCATTATGAGACAAAAGAAGGTATAAAAAAAAACTACTAAGTTATCTTTTATTACATTGGCTGAGGTAAGCAGCAGAAGCACTTTGCCCCCACTTCTCTTAATTAATATGAAGATGTTATCCTTAACAAAAGCCAAGATTTCATAAGCTTGATTACCCTCTTGCACGTGAGCTGTTATGCATATGAAAAAGAAATGCTATAAATGACCACAAAAGAAAAGTTGGATGTTGGGTAGCATGTATGCATAGATGGAGCACCTTAATCACGAAGTAATGATAGGCGTGAAAAGGTTGTGATTTTGTTATCTTTATAAATATTTGAGGGTTAAATAAACAAATAAATATAAAATATATATTTTCTTGGTATATTTTGTTAGGAGTGCGCATAGAACATTGGAGCTTGAAGCGAATAATTGGACAACGAATCTCTAAATGGCATTTTGGATAACTTGTTTCAGTGGAGCTCAGGCTGAGACCAACATTGGATCCTCAAATGTTTGCGTATCATTCAGTCCATTATTGATGGAGATCCCTTTTTTTTGGGTAGTGATGGAGATCCCATTTAGATTCCATTTAGGAGCATGGATTTGATTTGAAATGGACTATTGGGACCGTTATGTCACTAGCATGACATTTCAGTGGACACAAGAATAAGAACTAGGAAGTGATAAGAATATTGATTGAAAAAAAGGCATGCAGAAAAGATAAGAATTTTATTTACTATTGAAGTTAGGCAACAATTTGTTCGTGTTTAGACTTGTCATTAACTTCAAAGCATACTGTAATAAGAAACACAATATTGCAATCACTTTGTTGGCTAAGCTTGGATCTACTGATCCTTTTTGAAGTATATATGATGGGTTGTTTTCATCTTCTTGTAGGCATTTCTGTTCTTTTGCAATATGTTCTGAAATGGATATGATTTGTGAAGCATTCCGGGTAATTGCTTTAGGTCGCTTACCCGACAAGCTATGTGCCTTGGAGGAACTTTTTCCCTTGGTTAACTAACTCACTCTACATGTTAACAATTACTTTGGCTGATGGAAACCAGTTCCTGTGATTACGAAGATATCATTTTACAATAACAGTACCAAACCAATATGCAACATTGAATCCTCTTCGTTACTTCTTGTACTTATAGTCCTAGAATTTTTAGCTTATGTTTGATTTTTGATCTTATTTTTAATTGCTTGGAATATAGTTTTCTAATTATTTTTTTCAAATTAAATCCCTCAGCTCAAGAATTGAGATCTTGTCTAAATAAAAATATAATAAAAGTTACATGTTATTAATGTATATAAACTAGTAAAAAAATCAAATATTTAAATTAAAATAATTTAAAATTATAAAAATTCTATTTATTTTTATTTAATCATTTTATATAATTTTTTCTTTACAAATATATACAATCATATGATATATTATTTTTTATTATATTTTTATTAATTATTAATAAAATTATAAAAAATTAAACGTGAACGATTAAAATTAAAAAAAAATTGTAAATAAACAAAAATATGTGACCTAAAAATGCAATGAATCTTAACTTTGTGAATTCATGTCTCTCTCTTCCCCAATTCATGTACATATTTTATACTGCTCTCCTGTTAATAGTTCATAAAAACTGTAAATTGAAATTGCGAGTTTCGATCTTAACGGTTTATAGTCCGTATATACAGTACATCGACTAATCTATCTTTTAAAGCGTATAAAAAATAACAAGAGTATACTCAGCTTTAAATATTTTTTAATAATTTTAATGAGATTCATATTAAAAATGACCATTGAATTTATCAAAATAAACTGAAAATTGTATTTTAACAAGATATGTCAAAAAAGTTACTAAATAAACTAAAAAAAAATCATAAAAAGCATAAACAAGTTTCATAAACTCGTCAAAACATCCTTAACGAGTAATTGGTTTCCACAACCTGTTACAGATTCTACCTAAAACGCCCAACTACAATGTTTCATTTTTACATGCTATAATTGCCCAATTGCTTATTCTACTGTTAGTCACTTAAGCGACTTGCTTGATTCAAGATCAATTACTGTAGTTCGGCCGGAGCAAGTAAAATACTTACTCTATGTTTCCAATTTTCAAAACCCTTGAATTTTTAAAAACAAACAAAATATGTAGGTATCATTTTCTGCATGTTTTAAAAACTGCTCCGAAAGTTAGTTCAAAAAAACCAAGAACGGAGACAATTTACATCTGTGTTTTAACTTTTGTGACCTGTTTTTATTATACTTCAGTCTGAGTCTGGTGATATTCTCATAATAGAACACATTTTAAATCCTGTATAACATGCATTTAACACAATTCTGTCAAAAACTGGTTCTAAAACTTATTTTAACAAAGATTTTTCTTCGTTTTGATTTTAAAAATCACTGAACAAATTTTAAAAACTGTTTCTGAAAATAAAAACTGAATAATTTCAAAAAAGCACTTATTCTTTTATTTATTCTTTCCTCTTCCCCTTATTCACTTGATAGTGGAGTCAGGCTCATTCCGGATATGATTTCGCAAATATCCAGTTCTACGACAAAGGGGTCATGCTTCCCCAGAAACCACAACCCTATCTCCCATATTATCCAGTACCACTTCAAAATATGTTAGCAATTAAAAAAAATGCTCCCAAATCTCTAACAAGTGAAAATAATAAGAAACACATTATTCTTTGTTGCATAAAATGCGATTGTAATAAACATTAAAACACTTGTCCCCGTCCCCCCTTTCTTCCCCCGCCCCAAACCGGAAGTTCAGAAGATTCCAACCAGCAAAGCACATCAATAAAAAAATCCTACTATCAACACACCAGTCCACACACCAGTTCACAAAAGCTTACTTTTCCTGAACGAACTTAAAGGGAGCTTCAGCTGTCAAGTTCAATAATAAGCCTTGCGGGGATTGTTCTGTAAAAGCAATTAAACATGAAAACTGAGCTTGTAGGGACTCGAGACAAAACCAGTTCAACACGATAAATATAGAAGGTAAGCATCGTTGTTTACCAGAGGATTGGGTCTGTATCGGTAGCCAAGCATCATTCGCTTTTTGTACTGCTCATATATGTCATCATCAGCAGTCACCTCCCCAGGTTCTTGAGCACCAACCCCCAAGTTATTCTTCTTAACGTTACCTGCCATGATAGGATCCGAAATACCCTTCCTGGAACCTCCCAGACCCTCACCTGGAAATCAATGATTGTTAGCACAATGAACAATCCTATAAATATGATTCCAAATAAACTGAGCGTAACATTTAAAAAAAATAAATCTGGAAGTAAGACAAGACAAAAACTTGCAGCAGATTCCAAGTCTTCATCTGTTTTACATTGCATATCAAAGACAACAGCTAGGGCTTGAGGCTTGAGTCAAATCTTTAAAGCATGTTTTAATGAAATACAGCAAGGAAACTAAGACCGGGAGAGAGCACCTTCTTTCCAACCCATTTTCGACAGGAGCTTGTGGCCTACATTATCAGCCTGAATCTTTGCCCTCTCTGCAGCCTCCTTTGCTGCTTTGTGTGCTACTGCATCATTACAGCTAGCCATGAACTTCTCAAGTTCTTCGCGAGGAATGAAGTCACCCATGTGATGGCCTTTTTTCCCTGGACATGCGTCCCCCACAATAAGGAATCAAGAGATCATTCCATTAAAAGGAGAGAAGAGCATAAAGGAACAGTTTTAACTAAATAAAGATGACCAAGAAACAGCCAGTAACAATCAATTTTAACCTTGAAGGGAAGCAGGAGGGGGCATCTCATCTTTTGAATGCTTAGGTTGTCTAAACTTCTCTTCCCGTGCAGCTTTCTTCATGTAGAACTCCATCAGTGCCAAAGAATCAGCATTTGTTGAACCACTGGGCTCATCTGCAGCAGAAATACAGGGCATACATCAACTAAAAAGGTTGCAAATCAGCTCCATGAGAAGAGTAATAGTATGTATGTGGTTCAGATCTCTTTTTTTTTTTCCCTTTAGGGAGTACAAATGAAATGCAACTGAACAAATGAATGATTTCCATCAACCATACCAAGTTTATCAAATTGACAGACAAATGGAGACCAAACAGACAGCAATTGTGAAGACAAAAATACACCGATCCATTAATATAACAATTACCACTGTTTCCTACTGATGATGTTTGAATTGAAGATCCAGAAATTCTTGGATTGTCAGCACTTTCGTATAAAGCAGATGCAGGAATTTGGTAAGCTGTATGCTGCTGAGATGGTCTTTGAGGACCACTTGTCTGTTTAGAAGATGAAGAGCTTGTCCCCCCTGAAAATCCATTTCATGCCAAATTAAAATAAACCATGGGAGGTAAATAAGAAGACATATTCAACACATCAGAAAGCAAGACTTCTCAAATCCACAGGCTAGTCAATGAATTAAGCAACATTACTAAGAGATATATGCATATCACATATATGATCACTGCTTCAAACATATTTATCACATATATGATCACTGCTTCAAACATATCTCACATACCCCGTTAAAATCCAAAATCAAAATAGCATATGAACTTCTAACACCACTGCAATTGAGTCTTGACTCGTCACATGATCTCCAAAGAATTTAAAATTATGATCTTTGAGATATAGTCCACTAGATCAGAAAGATCAATCAAATGACCCGTAAATTATTTGGTCTCACTATTAGATTGACAATATGACAGACTGTTCTACGATTTATGAGCCATAACAGATAAAACCCAACAAGTGTGCCACTCTCACATATTGGTTGTTTAAGATCTCTTGCCTACAAGGAAACATAAGTGCATGAAAATACAAATCTTAAACATCAACATTTATCAGAAATGGGATGAAGTAAGAAACTATATAACTTCTATAGGTTAAAGTACTGGGGATTAACATATCCACAAGATAAAATGCCCACTCACTTATCAATCAATTATCTTCTCATAACTTCTAAGAAAAATCAACACAGAAGCATTGAATTCAAAAGTTAACTCAACATCAGCAACAATGAACATAGCCAAAAAAATTAATAATCAAAAGGCTGAAAACTTAAAATTAAAAAGAAAAAAAACAGTTTCCAAACTTCTAGACCAAAACAGCAGTTAAAACATCTAAAGAACTTAGTTTAAAAACATGAAAATATATTGAAAGTATATTGGTTTTAAAAACATTAAAATATATTGAAATATATTGAAAGTATATTGGTTTCAAAAACATTAAAATATATTGAAATACTAACCGTTATGAGGCACCTGTGATTCCCATGACTGCAAAAGAGCCTTTTCTTCTTGAGCAAGCTGATATTCGTAATACTTGTATTCAGCACATGTCTCATCAAATAAGAATCTGCAAGTTAAACAAGCACCAAATATAATCATAAATTCGGAAGCACAAACAAAAAAAGCAATAGAATAGGGTCAAAATTTGATCCCATACTTACTTGAAAGGTGTATCCCCAGGATTTTTTTGGCGAGTAACATCCTCAAATTGCCTTCCATTTTTAGCCACAAAACTTGCTAGTTTGTCAGCAACTTTCTTCACTGTAGGATCACTTGGGGAAGGAGGTGCTGCATATCACTTACAAAACTGATTAATACCAAGAGCATGAACAAGGGAATGCAAATTTAGTCTTGTAGTAGGCCTGCCAATACACCATTCTTGATAGGTACTTGAGGAATAAGCTGCATTCATGAGACAAATATTCAAGACAGTTTCTCCTCTTTGCTGCATGTCACTTTAATGAGCAAAGAAGGTATATACCGAGATGACCTCTTCAACAATGAAACCGCACTCAATGAGAGGATGACCCTAATTTCATGTGAAGACAAAGGAAAGAGGGGGGGGGGGAGGGTGTAATTCCAACTGTATGCAAAAACTGGCATCTTCCTTCATCTAAATATCTTAAGGGGAAGTTCTGAACATGCATCACAAACAAACCTGAGTTGACACCCTTCTTACTCCTTTACTTCCTTTGTGGGACCCAAAGGATGAGAACAAATGAAATGGCAAGTTTCTATTGCAATTGTATTACACTTTGAAAGAGAGAATTAATGAAAGGCATAAAACTTTCAGAAATTTTTAAAGAAACAAATTATACTGCCTTCTCACTAATGACAATAAATATAATTAGTATAATTCACAAAAACTTGAGATGGAAAATGGCAACAGAAGTGTCAACAACCAACTCTCTTGAAAGCTTAGGTAAAAGCTCATAACGTTTTATATATAATAACCCCTCACACAAGCCCTTTTTGGGCCTGAAGCATGAAGATGCAAAGCCCACCTTATCATATGCTAAGAATTGAGCTTTTATTTAGAATTGGCAAGGATTGATCTTTTTATCACCCGGTTATAGAGACTCTAATAACATATCAAGGACCATCCCACCCAAATGCCCAAGCTGTTAGGTAAAGCCTCATGAATGGCTTTTGTATCTAATAGAAAGTTATGACAGATAGATTTGGGCTGAGAAGAAAATACCAAGAAATGTAGAAAAGGGAAGAGAGTCAAACGGCAGCTTAGCAACTATCACTTATTAACCTATTACATATGAAAATATGATGAAATACACTTTACAGCATGTATTAGTAATGCACTAGAAAAATTAATAAGGGAATAACATGGATAAAATCAAGATCTTAATGAAAAACTAGCATGACAGTGATGACGCATAAAGGCTATAGCATAATGGATCACATGCCAAATATATAGATATTAGTTATACTACTACTTTATAATTCCAATTAAAAAACAGAATCCAGAAGGAATATCAAACACAACCCAATTATCAGTACAAACTAGAAAGTTTAAGAAGTAATTACCAACATCAACTTCTTTTGATGATTGCTCAATGCCATCCTCCTGGCCTAACTTTTGCCGTTTCAGTGGTGCATCATTTGAAACATCCCCAGCATATGTTTCTTCTTCATCCTCTTCAGCAACTAACTTAACAGGGGGTGGCACCAGCTTTGACTTTTGTTTCAAACTGAAAGCTAGCTTGCCACTGGAGCCACCCTGGGATGTTTTCCGTGTGTCATTAACCTTCAAATCCAAAGAAGTTTTGGTAATGGAGGGATTAGGAGACAAGGAGCCTGAAACAACTTTAATTGGTTTAGAATCCTCTGCTTTGACATTCTTCCCTTTTTCCTGCTCTTGTTGAAGTTGCTTGAACCTCTCCATGAATGAACCATCATTAACGAAGAGGCTAGATGGCACCCCCTTGTCCATTAGCTAACGCCAAATAATGCAGTTCACAGCAATCCACTGTTTTGACAAAGAAGCTTCAAAGATTTTTAGATGATGCAGTCAATTTTTAAATCTGACTTTGTTACTTTTTAATACAGGGTACAATCTAAGTACAGGTTTGGTTCAACTTATTTTAGTAAAATAATTTTTTTTTCTTTTGCCAGCTTCCTAATAGATATTTTGAAAAGGAGAAATTTTTTGCCAAAAAAAAATTGTACCCAAACATGCTATAAGGCAGTGTTTTGAAGATCTTACAGAAAAAGCTTATAACTTATATGAGCTGTTTTCAGTTTATTTCAATAAGCTTTTCAATATTGCTTATAAGAATAAGTTCTGTTAGCTTATTCCATTAAGTTTTATGGTCAAATTTTTGGCATGAGTTTTTATATAAATAGATCTTACTGAACAGACACTTAATAAACTGTGTTCCCAAATGCAACCAAAATCTAATATGTGATTAACTATAAATTCAATGCCAACAATGTAACAAATTCTACAGAATGAAAATTCATGACATAAAATAGGGCATATAGGTTAATCGAATGGCCATTTCAATATGCAGATTGTGAAGCAAACAATGTAACAGATTCTACTGAATGAAAAATCATGACATAAAATTTATATTCCATTGAACCAAATAATAAAACAAAGAGGACGCATTCCAATGAAAAAGGCTTGTTGATAAGAGGCAAAACTTTATCAGAAAGAACATAATTTTAACGTCATAAAATAACATTTTTGATGTCATAGAGGCAATACCCATAAAAATTCAGCATTCCCCTTCAACAACATTCTTAACACCATACATTTTTCACATGTTTATTGATTTGAATAACCGGCACCACGAAAGATATCAAATCTCTTGTCCCATTATTTGTTCTCTCCCCTGTCTCTACATTAAATACCATTAACTCACCATAAAAAATATACTCCCTCTTTTCATTGGTAACAGCTCTCCTATACATGTTGGTTAATATATTATTTTCCAGAGTTTTCAGCATGTAATCAGGGTGACAATAAGAGAGGGAAGAAAATTTGAAACATTACAACAGAACAGAAGCAAAACCACTTCCACATCAATAACAACTATCAAGCATCAATAACCCTATACTTTACCACTGCATACAATCCACATGCCGAAAACTATGGAAAAAAATATCAACCAACATTTGTTTTTTTCCTCAAAAACTAACATTTTCTGCCATGGCTGCCAGGCACATAACAGCCACCATGGCGCTGCCATCATAAATCCGCCATGGTTGTGGCAGTTTGGGTAAAAGCCGCCACCAACATCCACCATGGCCGTTATTTGACAACACTTATTGAAATTAGAGCAAAACAAAATGAAGATGATCATGCTCCTTAGTATTGCATAACCATAACTAAGAAGACCAGTTCAAAGCAGCAAACAAGTATCTTGAGGGCATAATATACTGAATATTCGCAATTGAGTTGAATTCACTCCAAAGGATTTCAACATAGAGATAATCTATAAAAGTCAAGATCAATGTATTATAAAAAAAAGGCAAATTATCATGCAATATAACTTCATTGAGTCTTCCGGTGAAGTATATCACCACAATGAAGCACAATGATAAATCCTGAATATCAAATATGGAATTATGTAACATGCATTTATCACTATCAACATGGAAGGTTGCAAATGAAGGATCAAGGATCCCATTTCCAATGGTATTCTTACAACAAAGGTCAAGTGCTAGTCACCTACATATGCTGCCAAACCATGACATTGAAGAGACAACAGAACAAAAGAATAGTTTAAGCAACAGAATACATTAATAGGGACTCATAAAGTCATAGAAATTGAAAAGCATTGGCTCCTCCACAGCCAAAACAGATAAAAGAACAACACTGCTTCTGCCATCAGTGACAGATATTTGCATAGAAAAATGGATTAAGTTGCATTGAATAGCTTATCACTTGAAAGTCCAAAAGAAAGCACAAATAACAAGACAAATTATTGAGCGCTTAGCTAAAAAATATATAAATGATATCTTTTTGGACCTGGTTTGTTACAAGTAACCCTACTTCAGAGCTTATAAGACTATCTTTTCAGATAAATACATACTACAATAGGATGCAATAAACCATTAATGTCCAAGTGTTTGCTACAGTGTTCTCTGTTAGTGGGTTTTGACTATGGCGATGAGTGAGAGACTGTGAAAAGAATGAAAAGATTTATGTTTGATTGTATTTTGGTGACAAAACTCTGAATATTCATATAAGATAAATCGACCTAGCACTGGAAGCTAAAGAGAAACTTATCACCCTTTGATTATAATAAATCTATAACTTTCTAGACCTATCCATCAGAAACTAATTAACGTAAGAACTAAGAAGCACTCAACCATAAATACTGTAGGCAATCCCACAGTTCCTACATAGCTGGACCAAAAGTTCAGCCAAGCTCGTGTTAAGCCAAACCATTGTGACACCACATTAAGACGAGAAGAAAATTCTCACACCCTTTGATTTCAAAAAATCAGCACCAAATTTTCAATGATCTATCATTCGATTACAATTTCTTAATACATCAATACTGAAAAGGATAAACTAGAAGCAATAATTTTCTAAATAGCTTCTAGAAGCAAGCCTATCGCTGTTACTTAATCGCACATTTGATACAAACACAAGTTCCATTGCAGTGTACCCAAAATACAAGTGAAAATTTCTTTCAAACCATGGACAGTAAGACTAAACAAATTCCAACCATATGAACAGAATTTTGTCAACCAAATAAAATAAAGAATATTATCAAGATGAACCTCCAAATGCACGATAAAAAGAGAGAATCGAAGAACCTGGTCGATTGAGCAAAACAGGGATGAAAGATCAAGGATTCGAATTTGTCCCAAACAGAGATAAGAGATCGAGGATTAGGGTTCACGAAGGCAGAGGGGAGGCAAATATTTGGGAACTAGGTTTTCACGATTAGGTTGAACGATTTGGGATTACCAGATCGAAAATGATAAATATACGAAAAACTTTCATACGTAAATTTCAACAATGAATTACAGCCGTTGATAGAATATAATGTTTCGGCTTAAAATTCAATCAATGGTTTTGATTCGTTACGCATTCTCCATAAGATTTGTGCATTAAATTTCGTGTTCTACTGCAAAGTTATTTCCATGCTAATTTATGATGTTTTTGAGAATACCAATTAAACCTTAAAATATCATAATTTCACTAGGAAATATGCCGTCAAAGCATGAGATTGTTTTATTTTTATTAAACAAATTTATTTTAAAATAAAAATATATATAACTTAAATATAAAATATATATAATTATAGTAAAAAAAATTATTATATTAAATATAATTATACCGAAAAAGATTATGCACGAATGGTGTACAAAGTTTATTTTATTCTTATTAAATAAATTTATTTTAAAATAAAATATATATAATTTAAATATAAAATATATAAATATAGTAAAAAATTATTATATTAAATATAAATTATACTAAAAATGATTATACAATACTTCTTTATACATAATATTTTTTATATATTATAAATTTATATATTTTAAATTATTACTTACAATATTTTTTAAAAATTATTAATAAATAAGTATATATTTAATTTATAATTTGTATGATATAATATTTATTATAAGAGTAATTATAATAAACTCTATACACATATAATTAAATTTTATTTAATAAATAAATAAATATCATTACAGTTTATAATATTAATATTAATACATACATGAATAAAATTTTATAATCATTTTGGAGCGTTCTCGTTTAAGCGAGATTCTCGCTTAAGTGAAAGCAGATAAGGTTACCACAATCATCCTCTTACTTATGCGAAAAATGTTTGCTCAAGCGTGTGACACCCTTACTACTTACTAAGCAATAAATATAAATACAATCATAAAATAACTAAGCAGTAAGAACATCACATGCATGGGTATATATATATATATATATATATATATATATATATATATATATATATATATTTATTCAGATATAGTGAAATTAAATACATTACCATTACTAGAAGTCTTCATTTCATACATACACGTCATCTGTTAATTTATACAATCATCCAGTTATCTAAATATATACATAACTGAATTACATACAAAATAAAGTGGAGTCACGATATCAGAGATGACAATCCAAAACGAAGACCTCACGAGTTTTCCCCTGGATCCATGATCACCAAAGTGCCCGTTTTCTCCCAAAATTCAACAACGGTAAGGTTAGGCTTCCTATATACCCTTTTCTTTTCAGTCAAAAGTACTTACACTTACGTATATGTATAGATTATTCCTTACTCGACTCTATCCTACTCTCCTTTTCCACTAGATTCCTACTCAGAAGAGGTAAAATTAGGAAAGAGTCCTGCTTGAGAAGCAGTCCTCTTCCTTCCGATAGCAGTAGAGGTGTTTGAACAGTGAGAAGAATCAGGAGAGTCTGAAGAACTAGAGGAAGACGAAGAGGAAGTGGATGAGATAGAGATAGGTCTTGCTAAAAGTGTGTCAACTAAACTAGTCCGTTCAACAAGTGGTAAATATGGTATAGAATGACGTAAAGGTCTAAGAAAACCTGGGGGTAATACCGGGGGTGATAATACAGGGACAGGAGGTGGGGTAGGGGGTCGCACAAATTGTACATCTGGAGGAAATGGAAAAGTAAGTCTCATGGGTACTCGGATGGGGATAGGGTAAGCTCGTGGGCCTAGCCCATTTCTATCTAACAAAAAGGTAATAGATCTAGTGTGGGTGAATCGTTGTTGCTCCCAGTCGTGCACCCATCTTCCCTCGGGATCATATCTGATCGAGACGCTGAATTGGTACGGTGGTCGAGCCATCAATGTTCTTACCTAATAAACATATTCACACACAACACACATAGCAATAAAAGGGTGAGACAATTCGATTCAATCTCCAGCAGCAAAAGACATATAAGGGTTTCAATCACACAATTAATTATCAACACCCATAATCTACCAAGCAAATGCATATGCCATGAATGAGAAATGATGCAAGTCTATTATTATAACTTAGTACATTTTGACACATGCATGTGGGCCCAGAACCATCAATCTGTTGCTTTTACTCAGGGAAGGATCAGGAGTTTCACTGTTACTTAACTGCCAACTTTGTTAATCTCATAATACAGTAACAGCTCTACTAATACAAGAATCTCTCGGGACCAGTCAGGATAGTAAAGTTTTGCAGTGAGAGTCCACAGCACAAGGTGGCGAGCCTTGGCCACTGTCAGATTCAATCACACGTCACTATCTCCAAGACTACCCTGGAGCTGCTCCTAGATTTCTTATACTTCCCTGTCCACTCATCACACTATCACATGTTCATGATGCATGTCTTCATTCCTAATTAATTTAATTAGAGAAAAATTTTAATTTTTCTTTTTTGTTAAGTACAATCCTTAACTTTTTTTTTTCTCAATGAAATTCGACAGAGTCTTCTCTGTAAATCAGATATTCCAAAATTTTCTTCTTCCTGTAAAACAACCAGAAAAAAAATCCAGAATACTTCTAATTCATTAAATTTCACCTCCATCACCTCAAAATCCAAGAAAATCGTATCTTTCCCTCTTTCTTTAAATATGTTTTCATGCTTAAAAATTGAGGACTTAATCATTTTATAAAAAAAATGATTCAAGCCTTCCAAATATCCAATACTACTTTCTCAGTAATATAATTTATTTATTTATTTTTATTAAATACATTTTCCAAAGAAGTCAAAAGATACTTACACTATATATAAAATACATAATTATATATATATATATATACCTTAAAAACATATTTTCTTCTCTCCAACAAGTTTGAATGGACATTTAGATTATGTCAATCTATATGGTCACATCACATAAAACTAAATTACTTCCAATCTTTACCATTATATGACATTCATACCAACAAGAATATCTACACAAACACATAATGAGAATTCAACCAATTATAAAGAAATAATTCAATACAGCACTTCAACCATAAATCATTCCAATACATTAATTTAAATACACAAAGGACCTTACATATAAGGGAGAGTCCTTGTTCAATCAATTTCCTGGTCTAAGGCAACCTTTCATACATGTCCAGTACTATAACAAAATCTTCTAAAAATTATGGGTTAGCTCTAAAACAACCTAAATTCATTTTATTTGATTAGAACAATAGAGAATTATTCCCTTATGGTTCTTAATGCCACCTATTGAAATAAAATCATCCCACCCCTTACCTTACGGATGTTCTTTGATGAAGGTATGGATGATTTTTTTTTTTCTGATTCTTTAGAAAAACTCGAACAATCCAATATTTGAAACGATCAACCTAATCAATTAATCATGCCTAAACATAATTAATACTAAGGAGATGCTAATTTTATACTCTTATATGTATATGTAAAAATTGAAATATTCTAACTTTTGCTATAAAAGTCCGATTAACACAAAATTAGTTTCTATCATCTAACTAATATAAAAGGAATAAAATGGAAGTGAAAAACACTCACTTCACCTTCTCTAAAACCACATGGCAGCCAACCCTTGTGAGGGTTTAGTGCTTTTTAATCACATTTTTGAAAAACTAATTATGTAAACAATATAAGCCATGCATAGTCTACATATAGTACAAAAGAAAGCAAGTTTAAAACCAATAATTTTGAAGCAAAGTAAGACCCATTTTTACTGTTCATGACAGCAAAAACAAAACATGGAAAAATTAAAATTTTAATCGGATGAAATGATAATTAACAAATAATTAAGCTTAATTAAGGATATATATTAAAAACATACCTTAAAACAAGCTGAAATGAGTGGAAGAAAATGAAAATGGTGAAAGGGAGAAGAAGGGGTTATGGACTTGGAGAAGAAGAATGTTCACGTAAGAAAGTGGTCAATTTAGTCAAATAGGTAAAGAAATAATAATATAATAATAAATTATTTTGCTATTTTAATGTAATTAAATAAAATAATTATGAATAAAACTCAAAAATAAAAATAATTGATGCCAAATAATTAAAATAATTATAACATAATTTTTGACATCAATATCTCCTTGGTTATCACTTAAAAAGAAAAAGAAAAAGGAAAAAAACTAATCACACAGTTCCTGTTAACACATAAAACAGTATCAACCAAAAATCTAAAAATAAGCAATAATTACCAAAATAATTATTTTTACACTCCAAATATTATTTCTAATTAAAAATATAAATTTTATTATTTAAAATAATTCTTCGTAATTAAAAATGCTATTTTTATCCTCATAGAGCAATTTTAACCGGTATAAATGAGCAATTATTTTTATTTTTATTATTAGATTTTTAGTCACTCACATCTTGTAATGTATTTACTTCCTCACAAAAATATGTTAGTGTTAGTTAGGATGATGAAAAAATTTCTCCTTAATTAGAAAAAGATTGAATGATGTATTGTATCTGTAAAAGTAAATACAACAACGGTAAGATGGTTACTCTTGGATGTTAGGAAACTAAGTGAGTGGTTAAATTGGGAACAATGAGTCTTGGAACTCTATTCATCATAAATAATTAAATAATAACATTTTTATCTCTTATATATTTTCTATTTTATTTTACATACATGTATTTTAAAAATATATTTCAATTAAAAAAATACTTTTAACCATCCCTTCTAACAGTTTAAGAAATATTTTCTTTCTAGACATCTATGCTTTGTTAAAATTGGCTATGATAAAAAAAATGTTTCAAAACATTTCTCTTTTAAACTAAATCAATCACGTTGTAAATATCTATGAAAATAAAAAAAATATTAAATATTTTAATTAAATAATTTAAAATGTTTTTTATAACAATAAATTTTAATGTTATTAATATATTTTTATAAAAATTATTTATTAATTTATTAACTAATCGATAAAAAAGCATTAAAAATATTAATAATACCCTCCTATGTTGTGTACTTTGAATTTAATGTTACTTAGCCAGTTTCATTCAAGAAATTATTTTTATTTTTTAACTATAAAATTTAATTTTATTTAAAAAATTATATAAAAATAGTAAAATCAAAAAATTAAAGAATTATAATCTAAATTATAATTATATTAACAAATTAACTGTTTAGAAAAACGAGGATGTTACAAAGCGGGAGTTGCAGGAAAATGGGTAGCTCTCTAGACCCAATCTCGCTCAAGCGAGAGCAAATAAGATTACCCCAATCGTCCTCTTGCTCATGCGAGAAATGTTTGCTCAAGTGAGGAGTTGCAGGAAAATGGGTAGCTCTCTAGACCCAATCTCGCTCAGAAGAGAATGCTACTCACCCAAGCGAGATGCAGCTCACTCAAGTGAGTGAGAATAGCAGAAATCTGAAAAGTTCAACTATCTGGTTTTCTTGCCCAAGCGAGGGTGAGCTCGTCTAGGAAAGAGAAAAGCTTGCTCAAACAAGAACGCCTGGAAGGGTATTTAAGAAACCTCAACGCTCATAAACATTTATTTCTCACCAGACAGTTTTTCTCTCTGTTCTCTCACCATCTTACCTTAGAGAAACCTTCTCAAAAACGGATTTCTTCTCGATCCAAGTAAGAACCGTTGTTTAGTGTGGATCTAGGTGAAATCTCGAGACCTTAATCTTTAACTCTGTGTTTTATTTCTTGGGTTCCTCTTCTCTAAAGTCTCTAATTCTTAATAGTGGGAAAAATCTAAACCGCGGGCGTTGTTTCTATACTTGGGAACTCACATGAAGTTTGATTTGAGGAAAAACTTATTTCAGGTAAGAGAAACTTATCTGAGCTAACTTATTTGTTTAGTAAATGTTGAGTTATTATCAATTTTATTTTATTTTAGCCGGGAGTAAGTCGTTGTATGGTTAGACCCCAGGTTAAAACTCAGAGTATTATTGCTGAGTAGATTTCTCTGTTGCTTAATGAGTATTGTAATATATGTTGTGAGAATGTTGAACTATGTTGAACAGTCTTATTAATGCTGTAAGTTGTTTAATTCGTTTAGAAATGCTTAATTAATGTTGCGAGATGTTTGGTTTTGCTATTAATATATATATGGCTGTGTTGCTAAGGGATGACGAAGTTGGCACTTTTGAAAATTTGTAGCGTTAATTATTTTTGTCCGTCTAGGTTGTAGAAATAGGTTTAGACTGTTTAGTTATATTTTGCAAGAAATGTAATTATTATTCAAAAAACTTGTATTTTGAACTCCTCGCTGAATAGTACTGTAAATATATATAAATTATGTAAATTTTGAAAATGCCCTTAGAACTTTGTTATTTTGTTAAATTGGATATTGAAGTTCAAGTTCTGAAAAAAAAAAAAACATATAATAAGCATAATCAAAGTTTATTACCGTCAAATTTAGTACGAATGTATTCAACTTGGAAGTATCCTTATAAGGACAAAAGCGCATGTTGGATGTTTGTACAGAACAATTAGAAGAGTGAGAGAGAAAGTTCAAATCATGAAGAAGAAGAAAATGAACAATGATATGAAATGTGATAGAAATAGATAATTTTTTTTTTTAAAAGAGTCTACATTTTTAACAAAAATAATTTATTTAAATTTTTTTAAAGATCTAGATGAAAATGAATGAAAATAAAATTAAAGAATAAAATTAAATTTAATATTTAATTTAAAAACAAAAACATTAATTTTACTTATTATTTTAAATTTATATAATATACTAAACTTAATTCACTTATGTACATGTAACGTAAGAATATTTTTTTTTTGAGAGTGTTAAAAAAATAACAAAAATAATAAATTCTACACTTTCTCAATAGTAAATGAAAAAATTAGTTTTATTACATTAATTTCTCTAATTATTAATTAACAAGAAATTTAAAATTTTTATAATGAAATTTTTTTTTCACCTTGAACGAAACTTAGTTAAGATTCCAATAAATATTTTAAAAATAATTGTCAAGGAAAATTATGGATTATAGTTAGTATTTAAAAAAAAAAACTTTCTAATAATAATTTTTTTTTGAATTAAAGATATAATAAAATAATTTAAATAAAAAACAACAAATAATTTGAAATAAATATTAAATCACATTTTATATTATTAGTTTCTTAATTAGACTTAACATGAAAGAATTTTTTGTATAATTACTCTAACAGTATATAATCAAAAGAAAAATTAAATCAAATAGAATATCTTAAATAAAAATAATAATATTTATTAATCATTAAAATATACTCTATAATTTTTTTAAAAAACTTTCCAATAATAATAAAATCTTTGAATTAGAGATACAATAAAATAAAAAATAATTGTCAAAAGAGAAATTATGGAGTAATAGTTAGTATTTTTTTTTTAAAACTTTCTAATAATAATAAAATTATTAAATTAGAGATACAGTAAAATAATTTAAATAAAAATAAAAAAATAATTTGAAATAAATATTGAATCATATTTTATATTATATATTTTTTAATCAGACTTAACATATAAATTTTTTTTTCTATAATTACTCTAACAGTGCATAATCAGAAATAAAATAAAAAATAAAATTAAATCAAAATAGAATACCATAAAGAATAATAGTAACATTTACTAATTATTATAGTATACTCTGTAATTCTTTTGATGGCAATATTCATATATTTTGCTATAAAATAATAGTCACACCCACACTAATAACACCTACAATGATTAAAAATAATAAAATAATCAATTCTACAATATCTAAATATTTTATTTTAATTGTATTACTGTAAAGTTTTTATAACTCAATTTGCAAGATTTGCTATTAAAAGACTAGTATTCATGTAGAATAATGTGTTTATACTTAGGCGGGTAATTACTGCAAATCTTTATCACAACTTTTCAGTGAATCTAAGAAGTTTGTCAAATTATTTCCATATAGTTTTTTGCATTTCCTATATCCCACTTTGTTTCTATTTACTTATTTATACTAATTGATTTACAGCCTATTTTGGAATCATAATATCCAACACTTAATAGTGTTTCTATCTTCTTATTTTGGAATATGCATGTTTATTCATACTTCATATATTTTATTTAAATATATTGTTTATTTTTTTTCTTGAACACTAACAATTGGTTAGGTTCTTCATTGTCCCTTAAAGTTTCAATGATTGAAAGTTAATTTGGTAGGTAATTTTAAAATTTCTTTGATTATGAGAAGATGACTCTCAATTTGAACAAGATTTCTTACATTTCTTCCCTCAAATCAATATGAAAAATTAAGCCACCGGTAATTTGCAAGTAGAATATGATTAGATATGGTAATCAACACGATATTATTTCTATTGAGATGTTTTTGCTCAATGTCCATGTAGGTTATATTACTATTAAATTAGTCATCATTTTTCAAGAGGTAATCATAATATTTTAAACTAATTTATTTTCCTTAACAACCTAATAGGTGGTTGAATCCAAGCATTTATAAGAAAAGTATTCTAAAATAAGTTTAAGGACGTGCTTTATAAAGGTAAACTTTATGTTTTGAATAACTTTAGAGTGAAACAAAATATAAGAAGTTATCGTTACATTAGCCATACTTTTAAGATCAACTTCTAATATTCAACTAAGAAAGTTTTAGAGATAAATTTTTGCAATGTTTAGTTGGTTCATATAAATTAATGATATGTAATTATAAAAGTCTTTTTTTCAATAATTTTTTTTATCAATAATTGTCATTTTCTCATTTAAATTTTATTTATCATACAAGTGAAATATTAGTTTGTAAAAAAAAAAAATCATTTATCATTGTTTATTTTTTGCAAATCTCAATATATTAATGTAAAGTAGTTTAACTATAATAATAATAACTAGTAATACCACACCAAGTGAATATTATTAAATCAAATTATATTTTATAAATAATTAAAAATACATTATATAATTATTTTAAAATTCAATAAATTTTGGAAATTTAGAAAAGAAAATATAATATAGAATAAATCATAAAAAAAATAAAAATAATCTTATATAATAATAAAAAAATCTATTCCCATTTAAAAATATTCTCAATTAAAAATATTTTTAAAAATATTCTCACTAAATAATTAAATAATTAACACGCAAGATTTATACAAAGGTAACCTGCAAGAGAACAGTAAAACAGCACTCCAACGGATAGAGAGCGCATAAGAGAGGGCAGGCAGCTAAGGTGTGAGCGAGCAATGGCGATGGACATGACTGCACTTAAATCCTTCAACATTCCAAACCGTTTTCATTTTCCATCAAAATTCGCTCCTTTTCGTCATTTCACTTCCTTCAAACCCCGTTGCTCTCTCGGTAATTTCTCTTCTCTCTTTCTGCCTTAAATTTCCTTTCTCTTTCTCTTATTTCAATTCCCTTGTGTCACAGACTGCTCAACTAAAATAATAAGCAAGCAAGGTACTTTGCCTCGTGGCGTTGGAGAGGCACTACCAGCGAGCGAATCATCACACTCCAAAATTCTTCAGGTTGTGCTCGTGTCCCCTCAGGTAAGATTCACTTATTCAACTTACATATACATGGGGCATTACTTTTGCTTTCTGTTAGTTTTTGACTTTAATGATACAATATTTACTCAAGCATTAAAGTAGTTTCAAAGCTTTATAAAAATGAAATAAAATTAAATATGACATTTTTTATTAGTTGTTTTAATCATGGAACTGCTTGTTGGTTGTTATTAATTTCATATTGTGTGCACTTGGACACGTTAGCAAAACAGTAATAACATTTAGAAACCACACCACAAGTTCTCAAAGATGTGTGCCAAACTATAATCCACGATGGAGGATTTTGATTCTCGATGGAGGACCTAGTTGAGTTGGTGAAGAGATTGAAACTTGGATTAGGACTCTTTCCCACCGCTTATAAAGTAGTAATGAATGTGTTAATAATAATTGGTTGCAAAATATACATTCTTGAAGAAGTTGTTATTAGTAAACTAGGCCTAACTCACTCATAAAAGGAGGTTTGCTGAAGTCTGGGTGTATTTTGGCTCTATTTCTAGTCAACGTAGGACATCTTAACACCTTCCTTCACATTTAGGATTGGACATTTGAGGCTTAAAGTCTGCGAGATTGGACATTGCGGATGAGTCAATATTCAAAATGGATAGGCTCTAATACCATTTTAGAACACTACTAATGGGCCTAACTTATCTAAAAAGCTAACTAATAGGAGGTTTGCTCAAGCTTTGTAAGGTGTATTTTAGCTCTATTCCTAGTTGATATGAGACATCTTAACATGTCATATCTATTGTTTGGGGATATATGAAGTTGTGGCCAGGTGTGTTGTTAAATACATGGTAGATGAGTGTGGATGGAGTACACAAATATGATTCTTTGTTTATTTGTAAAACGTATTGCATATGTTGTCAATGACTTACTGTTGTTGATGTTCAATAAGCTTGCTTTCTTAGCAGACTTGTTTTTGAAGTTCAAACCCTTGATCTGTACCCTGTTGTAGTATTAAATACTAATTAAAAAAGACTTCTTTTATAAAATTAAAGGTCACTTGTCCTTCCTGTCAGTACATTTGACAGAACCTGTGGTTCCAAGATTGAAAAGGAGGCTTCAACCGGGCGTGCCATGTGAGGGTTAGTTAATGAGGTAGCACATAAGAAAATTGGTCGTGAGATGGTAGTTAGTTATTTTGTTGGGGAGTGTGGTTATAGGGAGAGAGTATGAGAGTTATGGGGTCAACTGTGGGTAATGAAAAGTTAGGAAAGATCTGTCTCTGGATGAGTTTCTTCAATAATATTGATCTTTTTGTTTATATCTTTCTCTTGTATCCTAACAGCACCACCCAGATATTACAAGACTGATTATATCATTTCCTGATAAATTCCTTATTCATCTGAGAATCTTGTAATAAAGCAATAGAATAAACTTGAAAATGATATCAATGATAAGAAGAACAAAATGGTTAATGTTGGGCCGGAACAAAGTCTTTTGATTGAAGTGAATATTAAGGTTCAAGTTGGCCCTGGTAAACATTTTTTAAAGTTTAGACTAGAATCTCTCAATTACTGAAGGTTTCTCTGGAATTTATGCTGCTTTTGGTAGATTCCAGGAAATACTGGGTGTATTGCTAGAACATGCGCAGCATCAGCTGTTGGACTACACTTAGTTGGGGTGAGTTTTGATTTCTAAATCTAATAATTTTTAACATTTGATGATAAGATTGTCATCAATTTTTCGGTCTGTCAACATACTAATGATATCCTTTGTATTTCTTTATAATTTCAGCCATTAGGATTTCAGGTGGATGATACTAAACTAAAGCGTGCTGGATTGGATTATTGGCCGTATCCATGGACATATGTTTCTTTAGATTGATTCTTTCAAATTTGCATCTCTCCAGCTATTCTAGACAATCACTTCTACCATGCCGGATATATGTAATTGTCTATCACTGTTTATTTTAAATTGAGTTCTGCCTGACTCCAGCTTTTGCCTTCTCTAAGCTTGTTTTGACTGGTTGAAGTGTGGTTCTTTACGAAAATATAATATATCTTGTAGTTTCAACTGATCTAGTATTGCTTTATTCAAAATAATATTGACATAATTGCATTATTCCTTTTTATTTGTTTTCCATTATTAACACAAAATTGCAGATATGTGGTTGTTAAAGTTCATGATTCTTGGGAAGATTTTCGTGATTATTTTAGGCAACAGGTAATTATCTTTCATAAAGACAAATTCCATATAGCTCCGTCTCCTTTGACTCCACATGTCATCATTGTTTGGTACAGGATGGTGAAAAGCGGTTGCTAGCATTTACAAAGAGGGGAACAAACATTCATTCTGTGAGTGGTTACTAATAGTATAATTCCTTTAATTATAGCATTTCTCTATTTGATGCCTGGTGTCTCATATGGCATTGCATTTCCTGAGGTCTTCATGTCTGAATGAATGCCTTCTTTTATCCAAAACAAAACAATCCAAGATTCTGTTTCAATCCTTAGTATTTTCTCTTCCCTTAGTATTGAAGCTTAGAGAAAATTAACAAGTTGATTGAAGAAACAAATGGCATTGAAGAAGAAAATGTATTCTTTTACCTCTCACAAGGCAGCAGTATAAATAGGAAAATTAGGGCAGCAGCTGTACACTAATCATTACCTGTGATGACAGTATCATCAACAGACACTATGAACAAGGCCATCTTCAACAGGCTGTTTAACATGGTGTGGTTTGTTGGACATTGTATGAACCTATCTTCCTTTACAACTTGAGTCAATTTATCAAATCATGCTCGAGGGTATTAGGTGAGTCCATAAAAAGATTTGCAGAGTCTGCATACTTTGCATGTAGTTTCCTGTGATTCAAGTCTGGGAGGAATTTTCATGAAGGCCTCCTGAAATTAAGGAATGCATTCTTAATATCCAATTGATTTTTCAACTAGGACTATCACTTGTAAGCATATCTATGACTAGGTTAAACAAGTAAGATCTCAAAGTCAAGCCTCGGTGTAAACCTATCCCTATAGCAAGAAATATGAGCAAGGTTTCTTATTATGTTTAAAAGGAATGTGCTTTGCATCCAAAACAAAGCAATGTAAGGAAACTGTGAATGGTCCAATATTTATGGTTCCTTTTTACATCGCAGGAATTTTCCTACAGAAAAGGTGATTATCTCTTATTTGGTTCTGAAACTAGTGGCTTGCCACCTGAGGCCTTGTTAGATTGCAAAACTGAACCATTTGGTGGTGGGACTATCAGGATCCCAATGGTTGAAACTTATGTCAGATGTTTGAATCTATCTGTAAGTGTTGGTATAGCTTTGTATGAAGCTTCTAGACAACTACACTATGAACCACTTCAGGTACCTTCAGAAAACTGTATTGATACCGAGGAATCATTTATTGCTGAAGATATTTTTGCTTGATCATAAATATTTTATTTTAACCAGATAGAACACTCCTTGGAACTTAGTTAATTGTGGTTATCACATCCTAACCGGAGTCATAATTGAGATGGAAGATTCTGTTTCAGATTCAAAAGTTAATCCCAAATCTACATATAATTCCACTCACAAAACTCTTATGTGCCTCTGACTAGATCTTGTGGAGTTACATATTAACAACGTTGTTCTGTACCGATCCACATGTAATATCTCAATCTAATGGTTGTGGCATGTGGAGGGTTAGTCTTTTTCAACTGCAAATTGATGTGGTGGAATGTAGCGAAAAGAGAGATCGAAGAATTACTGTTTTGCTTCTTTATGTAGTCCTTTTAACAGCTTGAGCCTTCTCATGTTCAACTTATTATATATGCTTGAGTATGATGTTTCATTTTTGAACTGTTACCCTCGGTCATTATCACTAATAGATTAATAGGAGAATGTCTACTCCCTTTTGAATCACGCATGAATTCCAAGTGTACAGATTCAATTTCTCACAATACGCATTCTCAGCTTTTCATTCCCTTCATTCTTCCTTGAAAGGCTTACTGAGTTTCGCCTGAGCTATAAATAATAATAATTAGCATATGTATAAATATTTACCTGGAAATTGATCCTCTTCTTTGATGGGAGAAATAGTCACATAATTCATTGGTTTTGCGAAACAGTTATCTTTTTCTCACATAATAAATCAACACACTGTAATTCGTTGCATTTGATTTTCTTTTTGAAACAAAAAAACTCTGGTAACTAACAATTTGATCAAAAGTACTGGGGGAACAATCTTTATCCAATAATTTAAAGTAATCTAAATGACTAGACAGAAAAAAAAAATGGTAATCTAAATGCTCACGAGCTTCAATCATTTCCATATATTAGCTACTCCTCTGTGGCCAACCCTTATCGCAATTTCTTTCACATAACAGAGGGCATATTTGGTTTCTTTCACATGAAAACTTTAAAAGATGTCCAAAACACGACGATATGGCCCCCAGATGAGTCATATGACCTGATTACTCTCATTCATGTTCCATTGTGAGGACCATTAATTCAAGTTGAGAAACTTGTTGGAACGTGGAAGTTGGAGCCAACCCATATTCATGTGGATGGACACTTCACTCTTTTCCCATTCTTGCGCAGCAAGTCTAGCACTTTTCTTCACAACATCTTTAAGGGAAAAAAATATTAAAAACGCATTAAAAAGATTTGACAAATTTAAAAAAATTAAATTATCAATTTTGTTTCTTTAAAAAACATTTTTTTCTTATATAATTGTTAATTTTTTATTGACATCTTTTTATATATTTCATTATTTCATAAGTACTTTATAAAAATAAAGATTCTAAAATTTTCATCAGCAACAAAAAGAAATAATAGTTTTACAACTGTTTCAAAAGAATGTTATAAAACTGAAAATATTCATTACATAACTCAAAATAACTAAGGTTTATAGTAGTTTTCATCCATTCATGCACTGCGAGCCTGATACTATTCATTCTGGTTTCTGAAAATGTTGTGTAAGGGTGAGTTTCTACACTACCACTCATACATAACACATATTCATCATAAAACACATCTTATCAAGATTAAAGAAAATATTATGGTATTACATATCACAGTGTCTTATAAAGCAAGTTATCATCTCAATACATAAACACATTATATTTCACAGATGCACAATTTCTTTTCCTTTTTACCTGCGCTTACCGCGCCCTATGGTCACAGTTATCTGATGCCTCTATCCCGAGGTCTTACACATCTATGTAAATAGTCGCCGGATGGTCCAATGCAATATAGATACAACACATGCAATAGACAGCCCCTTAACAAAGGTAATGGTCAAGAGTCAAGTTAGGAAACAAGTGTGCGACCATGTGGTGTATTCGTACATAATATTCTGTGCACAATCCTAAATGTCACTCACCACTCTACATTTTCGCAAGATATCCTATATCGTCTTTATCTTCCACTCTTCCAGTGTATCTCTATAATCATATCATTTTCCATCTCATACTTTTTCAAGTATATTCACATGTTCACATATGCCATTTCTCATGTTCACACATATTTTTCATTATATTTTCACATACTTTTTATCATATACATCAAACCATGATATATTCATAATACACATTTTTTTTACATGTAACACAATATGAAACATTTATCTCCTTATATATTTCATATCACAAAATCATAAAATCATATCAATCATCCTTAATATACCTTATCATGCACTATTTAAACATAATATCACATTTTCACTATGTATTCATCATAAAATCATATAAACAACCAATTATTCTCACTTTTTATCAATTATTTTTCATAAAATAAGAATTATTGCACATACATGACAAGATCTATGAGAATAGAAGTAATAAACATAACAAAATGATAAAGTAGAACCCTCTTATCTTAAAACAGAACTTTTACAAAGATTTAACTGGAAATTTTACTTTAAAACGAAATTTTTCTTAAAATTCTTGAGTAGTACACGACACACATCAAACGGAACAAATGATTTGACTCCCACCACAAACTAATGCAAATTACTCTAATTCTTAATTTTATTGTGGGTATTAATACCTTAATTAATTATCTACTATTTATTAACTCTATTTTATAACTAATAAATGTTGAAGGTCTCACCAAGTGTACCCTTGTAATTTTTTGTACTATTATTTACAGTGTTTAGCGTGATACTATTTCTCGCTTGAAATATAGGACCTTATCAAGTAAATTTATACGTCTTTTACTTTTGATTGTACAGTGAGTCAGATTACTCACGTTTTTGGGTTTTGATCTTAACGCTGAGAAAGAGTGAAAACGATAAAAGCAACAGAATTTAGTGAAAAAATAATAATGTTATCGATGGTGATAGTGAGGAATTGGTGAGTGATTGAATTTTATTATATTCTGGAGCGAAGCCAAAAGGAAAGAGAGCAACTCCGTCAACCAAATCCAAAATGGGTCCACTGACAGAGTAATGGAAGTAATGATTGTAGTACAATTTGGACCCACACATGGGATAGTATCATGTGTCCATAAATACAACTTGTCGGAGTAACCTTTACCACTCTAGCACAATACTATTTAAAGCTAAACTCATCTGTTCAGATTCAGCTGGATAAAATGTAAGGTTAAATTTTAAATTGAATTATTATTATTTTAGTTTAATTCGATAAATCTGATGGGGGTATGGGGGTTAAGTTTACCAAAACTTGTAAAGAGATTTAAAAATAAAATAAAAATTAAATTTTGCCTGACTTGTGCATTACTCTTTGAAATTATAATTTTTGGAAATTTTATTTTTTAAGACTGTTAAAAATATATTCGGACTCTCTGAAATATTCTGAGTTAGAATGTTTTTATCTCATGTTTAGTTCAATTATTCCTTATTTAATAATCTTAATGCTTTCTATAAAAGTACTCCTTTTTAAAAATATTCATTTATTTTCTATGATAATTCATAATTCTTTTACACCACTACGTAAATTTATGATTATTTAAAAGTTTCAAAAATCAAATTATAATTTAAATGAAAAATTAATATGGCATATTTATTATACAAGAAGGGAGGAACCTCTAAATATAGAATCACTTAGGTTCTGCGATTAAATGTTTGTACTATATACCTTAAGTGTGCACACATCAAGAGTTGTAATGTAAATAATACCTCAGCTTTTATGGTCAGAACTTAAAACTTAATTGGTATCAAATAATTATTTAATATTCTTTTTATATTGAATTGACATTGGAGTGTGGTATATTTAGAGTTGACAATGAAGAAGAGTTTGTAAGTGCTATTATCATGCATGAGTATCCTCTTAAAACAGTGGATTGTATAGAGTTAAACGTTATTCTATTTCACTTCAATTAGTGTTCTAAGTTCTTTTCCAAAACATCATCAAGAAGCTAAGGAAATAATAAAAGTTTACAATAATTAAATATTATGAAATTTGAAGGACATAAATACTAATGAAAGAAGAATAGTTATTGCTTTAGATAAGGAGATTTTATACAATCAAAAGAGAAGATATATAACTATTACTGATCATTATATTGATTGCTCTTAAAATTTGTAAAGTCACATTTTAAGAATAAAAAAATTATAATTTCTAACTATTTTTCTTTAACTTTACAAAAAATTATTTATTTATAATTTTACTTATAAGCATGTGTGTGGGTGTTGCTCTCGAATAGTATTTTGTCTTTAAAATGATTGATTGAGAATACTTCTCATTTATATTCTTACTTCTCACAATAGTTATAAGTTTAGCATTGTTTTGGTGAATTGTTTGACGGGTTGAAAAATTATTTATTTTTAAGGTAAATTATATTTATTCAGCTTAAGTTAAATTATGTATAATATTTATTTCACTATTTTTCTTTTTTACACTGTGTATATATCAGTTATAATTTATATAATAAGATAATGTAACACAGTTTTCTTATAACATAAATTTCTATTCGATAACAATTTATGATGAATTTTTTAATAAATAAATATATGTAATATTAATTTATGATTAAATTTGATATTCTCTTAATGAATTTTTTATAGTGCATTGTTAACAGAAACTAGAGACGTGAACAAGTAATTTTCAATCGAAATAGAAAATAAAAACAGAAAAAGGAGAAGAAGATGAATTACACAAAAATAGCAAAACTAAATATAGAAATATTGAAAGTAAATTCAATGAAATAACTTGAAATAAATGTATAGTACAACTTCAATTAAGATAATATTCTTGTCAATCTTTTTTCATTGGGTCTAACTTGTGCATGAAATGTTTACAAAGTATTCAAATAAAATGTACAAGTATTTAACTGAAGAAATTGACACCTAAAACTATCATGGAAGATCTAGTCGTAAATAAGTACAAAATAACTTTCTATGACTACTTAAAAACTACGCATGTGTCACTGTTATACACAATTTTCACAATTTAAGTCTCATATTTGGACCTACAACCGTCACTAATCACTCTTATCAATTTTTTTTATACAAATCTTCAATCTTCTTTAAAATCATTGTACTTTTTTTTATTTTATTTTAGGAATAACTTTAACCAATTTCTTTTACATATTTTTTGATAACTTTGATATTTTTATACCTTTCAATTTTATGTGCAAAAACTCATTCATGAATCCACCAAAATTTTATTAAAATGTCACTTTTCGATTAAAAAATCACATTTCAAGAGTCATAATTGTGATAAAAACTCTTCAAAAGTATCTTTTTATTTCAACTTAAAAAGTCAGTTATTTTTTTTAAATCATATTTTTCACAAGAAACTTATCAAAATAATACTTATTGGCCACTTAAAATGTTATTATCAAAGTTATATTGTGAATTTTTACTCAAAAGTTTCTACTTCAACTCTAAATCAAATACTATTTTAACGCAATATTTTTTTAGAAGAAAGAGTAAATTCAACACCTAAAAATTACTTTTTAAGTAGAAATAATTAACAAATCTTGATCAAGGTAAACCCTTCTTTTGAGAAAAAAATTCTAACTTATGAAATTTTTATTTCTCTGGAACAATAACACAAACACTTCTTATTTAATTAATTGTCAAAGATCTGTAATATTTAATCTAATTACAAGAAGTATAAACAAAATTTATTTTTACGTGACTTGATTTTCAAATGAAATATATAAAAATTTCCATCTATTAATAAACAAACATTCGAAAACAGCACCTTCTCTATTTCTATAAAAAGCTTGTGTTTGTTTGCACAGAATGAACACGATGATCTCGTAAGAACAAATTTTATGATTTGATGTTGTGAAATTAATTTTGTAAAATTTGCTTTCTTGTGACGATATAACATCAGGTTTACAAATTTATATTTCAAATTATTTTTATTTACTGCGTTTTATTTAAGTAATTTTCATTTAAAATAGTTTTATTATTTTAAAAAGTGATCAAAATCACTTAAAAATAATAAAAACACTAAAAATATAACCCAAATGGATATTAAACCAAACGAGCCATCCATTAATCTTAATCCTCAGCATGTCGTACCAGCAATGGCATAAACAACAAAAAGCCACACCAGTTCACCGACGGTAATAACAATAACATACAAGGGGTAATTCGGTCACTTAACACGTATATATAAACCATTCAAACTTCACTTAACATGCTTTCAACTCCCCCTCTCTCTCTCTCTCCACTCTAGGGAGAGAAAAAAAAAAAACAAACAATGGCTTCGCCTTCGTTCCTATTCATAGCAACGGCCATTTTCACGGTCCTCTGCGCCGCCGTGAACGGTTGCTCGCCGTCGGAAAGGGCGGCGCTACTAGCCTTCAAAGCGGCGCTGAACGAACCCTACCTCGGTCTCTTCAATTCATGGACCAGCGCCAACTGCTGTCTCAACTGGTACGGCGTCAGCTGCGACGCCAACACTGGCCGCGTCACCGACATCAACCTCCGCGGCGAGTCAGAAGACCCGATTTTCGAAAAATCGGGTCGCTCCGGCTACATGACCGGAAAAATCGCGCCGGCTATTTGTCACATCGACAGCCTCAAAAGTCTCGTCGTCGCCGATTGGAAAGACGTCTCTGGCGAGATTCCCTCCTGCATTACCTCACTCTCCTCTCTCCACATTCTCGATCTCATCGGGAACAAAATCACCGGCGAAATCCCCGCCGACATCGGGAAATTGCAGCGCCTCACCGTCTTAAATCTTGCAGACAATGCAATCTCCGGCAAAATTCCGGCGTCAATTGTGGAACTCGGTTCCCTCAAACACCTTGACCTCAGTAATAATCGACTCAGCGGCGAGATTCCTGAGAATTTCGGGAACCTCGGCATGCTGAGCCGAGCATTGCTGAGTCGAAACCAGTTATCCGGTTCAATACCGGTTTCTATTTCTAAAATTTACCGGCTCGCGGATTTGGATTTGTCCATGAACCGGTTAACCGGTTCGGTTCCGTACGAGCTTGGAAGAATGCCGGTTCTTTCTACTTTGAATTTGGATAGTAACTTATTTAAAGGTTTAATACCTTCGAGTTTGTTAAGTAACCCCGGAATGGGTATTTTGAACATAAGTCGAAACGGGTTTGAAGGAGCCATACCCGATGTTTTCGGGTCAAAGTCTTATTTCATGGCTTTAGATTTGTCTTACAACAATTTGAAGGGTCGGGTACCCGGTTCGTTGTCGTCGGCTAAGTATATTGGGCATTTGGATCTTAGTCACAACCATTTATGTGGATCCATTCCTCTCGGGTCACCCTTTGATCACCTTGAAGCGTCGTCGTTTAGTAACAACGATTGTTTGTGTGGAAACCCGTTGAAGACTTGCTAAGTTTTGTGGGTGACCCGAGACATAAATAAGTACCCGATTTGTTAGACGATTCTTATGAGCCAAAGCGTGATTTTTCATGTTATGTTTTTCACTTTGTTGTTTGATGTATGTAATATAATGTTTTAGTGGTAAAGTTGAAAAAGGACAAAAAGAAAAAGATGTGACGCATTTGAGAGGGGCGCATACGCATCTGCATGCACGTGCGTGGCAGGACAAGGGTTTGAAGGAAGGAATTCATGTGTAAAGTTAGTTCTGAATATTGCTATTCCTGTGTTGCATGTGAACTTCCCTGTTAGATAATGGCAAATAATTGGATAAAGATCTCATTACTGTGTCTTAAGATGAGGACCACTTGAGGAATGGGTTTGTAGTCTTGTTGCAAATATCTTCTTATGGTTTGAATGTTTATAAAATAGAAACCCGTATCCTAACGGATATATTACAAAAGATTTGCTGTGTAATTTGATGCTTTATTAACTTCAAGTGTGTGATTGGATGCTTATGATCTCCACCGTGAGCAAAGTAACATTGTTATTTTGATGGAGTCTAGGAATGAGAAAATTACTTGTAAATAGTTCTCACTGTTTTGTGATTTTAGATCCACGACAAATGAGGAGTAGAATACCGAAATGGGAAAACAATAATAGAGCACAACTACCACTTGGGGGGCACATGCTGCTGTACCTCATATCTTCTCATATGCATTAACTAAGAGCCAAGTCTTCATGCCATTCAAATCCACCCAACATGTAAAATAAAGCAGCAATGAATGCTTAGCAAAAAGCGAATGGACCATGCATCATGCATCACCATACACCCCACCATACATGCCACCTTTATTCTACAAAAGACATACCATAAATTTGGTCCATTCATGTCATTTCCTCGCAAAAATGAGGCATAGATGGGACCCACACCAACTCTGGCATTCACATTCGCATTGTAAGTAAGTGACCCTCTCTGCATGTGAGTGACCTTAAATTCAAATTCCATCACCGATTGTTCGAGGAGGAGCCTATCCAGTAGCCACTAAGGATGATGATGATGATGATTTCGTGTCAGCAATTAAAAGTTACAGCCACCCTCACTAGGCCCCCTAACCATCATGTTTATCATTTGAGCACGGTATTAAGAATATTAATAAAAAAAAAAGTGAAATAATTTTTTAATTAAGTATATTGTTAGTTTTTAAAAGTATATTTAATTTTTATTTTAGTTCTTGTACAACATTTTTTATTTCTTTTTATATTTTTAAAAAGTATTAATTTTTGTTAAATATAGTAATGTGACTAGCTTAAACATTGTCACATGCCACTTTGTTTTTTTATAAAGTCATGTTAGTGAGAGAAATTACCATCAACAATTTTTAAAAATATAAAGTTAAATAAAAATAATAATTTTATAAAGAACAAATTGAATTTACTATACACACATGATATTAGAGTAGTCCTTTAACGTAAGAAAGTGTTTTCAATAATTTTTTTTAAATGTTAACTTTGTTAAAAATTTATTATTCATATATTTCTTTCTTATAAATTTTAACAAAAACACAATATGTTTTAATAAATTTTGTTGATAGCTTTCTTGTCTTCTCTTTATTCTTTTTTTTTCTCATCTTCTAATTCATGCATTTTTTTCCCATCTTACTTCTAATTTACGCTTTCATAAATTTCTCCTATTTTTAAACTTCGACAAGAGTCTTCTTTTTTCTTTTTCTTTTTTTTTCTTCTTCTACCATAATTGTATTGAAAAAGATATTATGATATTCAAATAGCCTTGTGAATTTTTTTACTAAATAATATGTTAAACAATAACCAAAACTTAAAACTTTAGGACAAAGGAGTAAGAGGGAGGTCCATTTTAAAAACAAAAAAATACCATAAGGTGGAATTAAAAGTGAAAGATGAAGAGAAATAAGGGAAAAAGAAGGATTAAAAATAATAAGAGGGATGATTAGCAAAATTTGTGGTGAATAACTACAGTGCGCGTGAATCAAAATAGTCATTGTTATGCACTATAATCTTGGGGTTTTGTCTCTATCAAAATGGTCACCAATGTCTTATTTACACTAAAAAAATTTCACCATCATTGTCTCTCTCATTGTTTTCTTCTATAACCTCAATTGAAAAAGTGAAATTTTTGTCAAAGTTTGAAGGGAGGGGAAACTAGTTGTTGAGATGCGAATGGGAAAGAAAAAAGAGAATATTTTGTAGAAGTTTAAATAAATAAAAAAAAGAGTTGTGAAGACACGGATTAAGGATAAAAAAAAGAAGAAAAGGAGGAAGAGAAAAAAGAAAAAAAATGTAACAAAAAAAAAAAAAACAACTAGATATATTATATTTTTCCAAGAATTCACTAAAAAAAAGTTGAATAATATTTTTTTAATAATGTTAATACTTTTGATAAAAAAAAAAGATTTATTTAAAATATTTTTTGTAAGTTAATGAATGAAAAAAAGAAAAAAATGGAAAAGCAAACAAATATACTAATATTAGTAAGAAAGGGAAACATTAGTACTAATTTTAAACAGAAGAAAGAATACGGGAGCAAATGGAGCGAAGGTAAATTATATGGATTTTTTAAAATTAATTGATTTGTTAATTGAATTAAGGAAAAATTATTACTAAATAAATATATACTTTAAAATTATATAATATAGTAAATAATAAATTAATATAAAATTATAAAAATTTGGGTCAACAAATTTTTGAAGAATATATTACGTGTTTTATAAAACGAATAATTTATAGTAAATAATTAAACAATAGCAATTCCCATATACATTTTCTATCTTTAGCCTTAAAATGTTAGAAAAACAAGGAAATTATATATTTTATTAAACAAAAATTAGTTTAGGTATAGTAGCACTATTATATACCCGACATTTGCTGATTTTGGGCCAATTCTTGATTAATGTGACAATTTTTTTTTTATTTCATCAATATTCTAAATTGTTCAGATTGAGAACTAGATTAATTTACATTCTTATTATCAATCTTATTATCAAGAGTAGAAATAAAAATAGATTAGACTCTTCAACAAGAATCTATTATCTAATTTATTTAAAGCTTATTTCAGTCTAACCTATTTAATTAATAAGCTTAATTTAAATTTTTTAAAAAGTTTCATTAATTAAATAGACTTGAACTTAAGAAAAAGTCTATTAAATTTATTTAAAATTTATAATAATACATTAAATAAATTTATATAAAAATTATAATATAATAATATATTAAATTAATTAAATCTTAAGATAATAAAATCTTAGATTCAAAATTTTAATCTTTTGGTTAGAGTTGAAAAATGTTTCTATGTAATAGCACATAGTTTATAAGAGAAAATTTTGCTTGGATTTTTTTTGCATATCCTATATGCATAACACTGGTTTAAATTGCATTATCTCAATTACGTCTATCACTAATTCGTTTCATCTTATTTATATCTTCTTACAATCTTACACACTTGTTTATATTATATCTTTTTTTTAATAGTTTATTTAGATATAAGGCTAATGACTTTTAAAAACATTTATTTATATGGTTTAATAGTCTATTTATAAGGAAACTTAACGACTTATTGAACGTCTCGATATAAAGTAGACCATTAAAAAGACTAACAAGGTAAATTAGAATTTTAAAAAGGTTAATGTAAGCTTAATAAAAAGCCTATGGTAGGTAATAAGTCACACTTAGGCTTTAAAATTATTAGACAGGTCAGGCCTATTTATGCAAAGCGTAGTAGTCTAGCTTATTTTCATCCCTAATCAAGATATTGAAGAAAAAAGAAAGAAAGACGTCTATACAAAAAAAAAAAAAAAAGGACAAGGAAGAGAAGAAAAATAAAAGCTAAACTTCCTTATTTGAATGTTATAAATTGACATGAGGAAGAAAGATTTAAAATTAGTGCTTAATAATAATATAATTATAATTTATGAAGCTGAAATGAGAAACTTGTAATATTTAAACAATCAAATAAAAACTTATGATATTTGAAAGAAATAAATTAAAAACAAAAATTATAAAATGATTATTTGGTAAAGACCATTGGAAAAATATTCTATTGAGGATTGATGTAGAAAAAAAAGACTAAATAAAAAGATGTTGAAAATCTTTTGAAGAATGATAAACTTAGTTAATAATTAAAAATAAATTTTTGTTAATAGAATAAACAATTAATAATAATAAAATTTTATTAAAAAAAATATTTATTATATTTTTATAACTTTAATATAACAACTGTGTACTTTTTTTTTACAAATTTTTTTTATTTGTAAATGCTTAAACTTAGTCTTAAGAGTTAAAGTTAATAAAACTCATTAAAAATATATTTCGTCTTGGAGTAACTTTACTTTTTCTGATTAATATTTATGCTTACGACAATCAATTATTCATGTGTTGTTACTTTTTAAATAAACCAAGTTAAGAAACAGGATAAAATTGATCTTAGTATTCTAACATAACATCAACTATGGGAATAAAAAAAACCGATAACCTAGAGGTACAAAACCTAATCTAGGAACCTAAACCCTAACTAAAAACAAAATCAACAATAACCATTTCAAATTTAAAATATTTGCCTATTGTTATAGTAATTGTTCAATAGCAATACTTCTTAGAAATCGTAATAGAATATAGGGTATATCTGATTTCTCAAAATTAGCAACCTGTAGATACGAATAATGATTTTTAACAGCTTCAAATTGGAAAAGAAAACTATACGAAATTACATTAACATGCTTTCAACATGCCTCAAAACCTGTACAACTACATAAACAATCAAATCATGTACAAAATATAAAGAAAGTATAATAATGATAACGAACAAAATTAAAAAAACATTGAACCGAAATATGCGTGTACCAAAAAGCAAACAAAAGAATTATTGAGCCGACACTGCATTATTCTTTATCAGGATGGAAAACAAAAGAAACCACATGATTAGACATATTTGAAATAAATAGCAGCATGATTTTCAATGGAAAAACAGTGTCTTTAGACAGTTAGTAAAAAATAGAAAGTGAAGATTCAATTTCTAATTATGTTTTCAGTACTAATTAAATTTGAGAATATTTATTATCACTTTTTATTAAAAAATTTTTAATTTAAAATACTCTTGTTATTAATATGGTTATAAAAGAGAAAATAAATAATTTAAATAAAAATAACTTAAACG